AAACAACCCCCTAAAACCCCATATTGTAGAAAAAATTAAGATAACAGAGAAAATAAGCAAAATATATGGCTAAAAAGGAATTCAGGTAAAAATGAATTCTTTTTTCTCTTTATTTTCAAACTTACTGCTTTTTTAAAAATCCAATAAATCTATCTTTCCTACTTAAAAAAATCAAAAGTAATAAACTATTTCAAGGTAGAAATTTTTCCCAAAAAGAAGTTATTAATCTCCCTATTAAGTTGAAAAACATAAATAATAATCCTTTAAATTTGGATGGTGCTTTATGAATAACAAAGGATTTTTTTTTATGTTCTCTAATTTGTGTTTTGCAAAAATACCATGAAGTAGTCACGGTAAATTTATTTTTGGGGGAGGTAAAGTTCAAAGGGGTTTAAAGAATTTGCCCAAGGTCACACATAATGTGAGTGGCACAGCCCTGGTCTTCTGACTCCAGATCCAGTTTTCTCTCACTACATCACACTGAAAAACTGAGTTAAGTACATGAGAAAGTCAATTCAGTTTATCAGTGAATGAATGATCTGCAAGCACAGCAGTATTTCCTAGCAAACCATAGCCGTAAAAGCTCCATCTGGAACAAACTGCCCAATTCCAGAAATATAGGCCACATAAAAATCAGACCTAACCTGAAATTAGAAAGGAAAACTCACAACACTGCTGAGTGATAGCCTAGTCTCACAAGGTGGCTTTCTTGACTTTATCAAGAGCAGTACTTTCATTCATCACCATTACGCTGACTCATATTCTCACCTAATAGATGGTGGCTATGAACAGAAAAAGAATAAAGGTATTCTTTAAACAATTTTATCATGCATTTGAAACTTATTTCAACTTTTTCAGTGACTATAACTTTGAATCAATATAATCCTTATATTGAAAAGCTATTACTTCCAGTAGAAAGAAACATGGGATTGAAAATTACAAAAGTATATGCCATAAATTGAATATTTGATCACTAGAAAAAACTGAATATAGAGAATATTTTTGGTGGTATGGGATAAATCATAAAGCAGGTGATAAACATAAGCCAGGGGCAATCATTCGAAGTATTTGAGAGGAAGGCAATAAGAAACTGAAGGTAGAGAAAGGGAACAGCAAGATCATATACAGAAGACAAAAATCAAATTAATTTAGTTGGAGCAGAGAGGCTTGTTGGGAGACTTGAGGTATTGTAGGACTACCACAACAGGTTAAGGATTTTAGATACTAATAGGTGACTAGGAGCATCTGCTCCAAGGAGATAATGAAAATGATTAGAAGACTTATCTGTTAGCTATCAATAGGATGAAGGTATACTTGGGAAATTCAAGAGTATAATAATAAAGAATACTGATAAAAACATTGAAGCAAAGAAATGTAAAATACATGAGTTGAAGGGGACGGGAAAAAGGAATAACCTGGTAGTTTCCACCCTAATCCAGAATCAAAATTCTCATTGGTAATAGTAGGACAGTCAGACATCATGTACCTTCTGGTATAATATACTTCAATATCATCTATGAAGGATTTTTCCAAAAAATGCTTATACTTCATCTTACAAGTTAGATTATAGAAAATACAAAAGATAGAGAAAGAAATTAAATCTCAGTATGAGGAAACAATCAGACAAATCTAGAATGTGGGATATTCTATAGTTATCATGAAGTCAATATCATGAAAAAAGTTCAAAACTGTTTTAAAGCCCAAAAAGACAAAAAATTAAATGCAGTGGGTGAATTTCTATTGGATTCATTTTTTAAAAAAAAGCTCTAAAGACATATCTTAGGACACTTGGGGAAATTTGAATGTTAGACTAGATATTAGATGATTTGTAGATGAGCTGGAAAACTTAGAAATTATGTAGTATAACAATTCACTTACAAAAGAGAAGCCTAAGGTCCAGGGAGTTTTCAAGTGACTTGCCCCAAATTATACATTTAGTTAACCATAGTACCATGTTAAAACCCAGATTTTCTCATTTTCTATATAATGCTCATTTAACTACCAGAGCTAGATGGCATTTATATAGATAATGCTATTATATGGAAAAATAAGAATAACTAACCATATAGGAAATAAGGAAAGAAATGCTGCTTTTTGGTTATCCTTTACCAATGGAGTTTATTAATTTGCTTAATGGGTGAGTGAGGGCTAACTAGTTTTCCTCTTAGTGAGATCGCCAGCCCAGTATTTTGCATCCAAGTATTGCTCATATGTTCTTAATCCTTTAGAATTAAATTACAAGTTGTCTTTTCCTCTACTGGTCCAACAATTAAAACCACAATTGAGCAACAACAACAGAAAGCACAAAGGATTCTATCTTGTTCCTTTAATTATAAAATTGTAGGCTGCCTCCCAGAGAAATATGAATGCAATGAAATTCTAGAACAAGAACAAAGATGTACAACATCTACAAGCTTAAAACTTTTGTGGCTTGTGTCCATTATTGTCTTTCTATCTCTCTCCACACCTGATAGATATTCAGTCCTTTTCATTACACAGAGAATGGTCATTTTGCTATGAATATATACCCATGATATGATAGTCTTAAACATAGGTGGAGGGCAGGTGAAAAAAGCTTTCCATAATTAACAAAGCCCTAATTTTTTTTCATCTTATTAGGTGGCTGGCTAGCACTGTAGATACGCTTGTTTGTTAGTAAATTACTTTTGGTTTTGCTTGTTTATTTGCTTGTTTTGGAAAAGAGAGAAAGCTTTTGTTCCTCCATTTGTTTATAAGAAAATTGTTAGAAATACATATATATGATAAATTCCCTTCTAAACACTGAAATGACAAGAATTGATAAAATTCAGTGATATGCTACAACAAAATAATCTTTTCATTTCAATATGCTTTAGACCAAACATTTTATTTTTAAAACAAAATTAGTTTTAAGAAAGCATCCAAACATATTGATTTTAGTTTACGACCTCTGTTACATACTGCTTAGATAGTCAATAAATATTGGTACAGCAGGTCTTTGAATAATGTTGTTTCATTCAACATAATCTTCTTATTATGTTGATGAGGAAAAAAAATCAATTCCCAGCAGAGCCACTCCATGTGGAGTTTACATGTTCTCCTGGTGTCTGCATGAGTTTCTCTGGGCACCCCAATTTCCTTCCATACCCCACCGTTGTGCCTGTGAGGTGAACTGGCATGTCTATGTGGTCCCAGTGTGAGTGTGTCTGTTTGAATGTAATCTGGCACTGTCCATGAGTTCCAACCTCATGCCCTGAGCTGCTGGGATAGGCTCGGGCCACCTATGATCCTCAACTGGAATAAGCAGGTTGGAAAATGAATGAGCGAATGGATACAAATTATTGTAAAATAAAAATTTGTAAAGTCTGCAATAATCATATGGAGGAACAACAGTAAATGATGTGGTATCAAAGCTCTCAGCAAACCCACCCTATCTGTGATGGTTTTTGAACTGTGTGGTGGTAGGAGATGCCTCTTATAATTTTCTCTTTGCAAATACTCATTCCTTAATTTACAGCACCACCACTACAACCACCATCACTCATTGATTCACCAAAAATTGGTAAATAATTATCTTACTTGTTTTTACTAATCTTTCCTAAATGTATATAACTCACATTTGTTTCAATGTTTAATAATAGAAGTGTTTTGAGTCTTCATTTAGAAGTTTGGTGATGTTTTTGTGACTAGAAATATGTCGTAAGAACTCAACTCTTGTTTATATCAATTTACCTTTGATAAGATCGATTTTGTTGTTAAGTCATTGTACTTAAAGTCCTAGTTTCCAAGAACATATATACAATGTTAAGTGAGGACTTACTCTATTTGGTTTCAACTATCCAACCAGTGATTCCAACCAGCAGAGTGATACTTGAGACCAAATGACCAAGACTCACTAGCCTCTCTTCTTGTACTTGCTGGCCTGGAAAACAGGAAGAATGATTTGGGCATCATGTAACGGGTACTGTCAGGTGCTGACAGAGATTGAAAAGTTTGTTCTAGTGAACAATTTAATCCTCCCTCCCATGAACTTCTATTGATTTCCATTGTAAATTATTTTGTCCAATGGCTTTCATTACCTCTGCCTAGATGATCAGGTATTCAAAAATAAGAGTTCCAATTAATAATGTTTTACTCTAGTCTTTCTTATATCTTTTAGTCAGTTGCTCCTTTTTCCCTTAAATGATTTGTAATGCAAATGAATGATTCTGAGAAGTCACAAGTTGGATTCTGACTTCTTAAATTAACTTCATTTAAATAGCTCTAACTACAGGAAAGATCAGACCTTCTTGCTTTTGGGGTGAAAGGAATCACAATTTGAAATGTCAGTTGCCTCAGGCAGGCACATCACATTGAGTTGCATTTAAAGATAGCTTCAAGCTAGCTTCACTTTGAAATATAATAGAAAAGTCATTGAAGAAGTGACATCTACAGAAGAAAAATAATTTTAGTATTACTTAGCATGGGAAAAATGGTTCCTGGATATATAACAGTCCAATAACTTTACCTCTATATAATAGTTTTTCTCTGAAAATCCAAAAACCTATAAAGTTATCCAATAATTGATATAATTTGGTATAATATCAGTATATATATGAACTAATGTAATGAAACTATAGAGATTAAATTAATTCAGTAATTGTTTTTGTTGGCAACAATGAAAATTTGTAGTTAATGACTGACTATAAGGCAGACAAGACAAAAGCTTTTTGAAGTTTAGGAATATAAATCTATGAAAACAAGTAAAGCTGTCTCAGAAAAAAAAGTAGGTTTAAAAAGTGGATGCCCCTATTATAAGTAAATACAGCTGAAGATCCACAAAACATTCCTGATTAAGCCAGTAATGCTTTTACACCATACATTTCTATAACACTAGTGGGGTTCCCAAAATATAGCACCCTGGCATTTGAGAAAACAGCAGAAGCAGGCAGGCCACTCTTACCTTCCTCTTTCCCTTTTTCCCCGAAGCAGGCCACAAAACCGAGGAAGGTCAATTTCTGGCCTTCTGCTTCTTTTCTTCCATGAAGGCCATCATATGAGAGGTGTCTTGCTCTATACCCAGAGGGAAGGAGAATTCCCAGGAATTCTAAAAGGGTAGAAGATTTAAGAAATAGAGTACTATATCAATAGGCCAAAGGAGAAAAACCATAATATGATATCAATACATAAAGAGAATAACACGTTTGATCAAATTTAGCACGTGTTCCTGATAAAAATACTTAATTAGGAATAGCTGAGATCATACATAATAGTAACAGAGGAAGAGGAGAAGAAGGCATAGAGGTCCCCTTACCTATGCCATCTTCAACTGACTGGTATTGGCTACCTAAAGTACTATATGAAGAAGAAGTCTGTTATTTTTTGGGTTTTTTTTGAGACAGAGTCTAACTTTGTTGCCCAGGCTAGAGTGAGTGCCGTGGCATCAGCCTAGCTCACAGCAACCTCAATCTCCTGGGCTCAAGCAATCATTACCACCTCAGCCTCCCGAGTAGCTGAGACTACAGGCATGCACCACCATGCCGGGATAATTTTTTGTATATATATTTTCAGTTGGTCAATTAATTTCTTTCTATTTTTAGTAGAGACAGGGTCTCATTCAGGCTGGTTTTGAACTCCTGACCTCGAGCAATCCGTCCGCCTCAGCCTCCCAGAGTGCTAGGATTACAGGTGTGAGCCATCACGCCCCGCCGTGAAGTCTTAAACTTATTCTAGGCTCAGCTGGAAACAGTACCAAGATCAGCATTTGCCAAGGAAGTTGCTTTGGTGCACTGTAGACATTTCCTTTCAGGCAATAGCAAAGCTAGGAAGCTGCCAGTAACAATTATCTAATACTGGCTTGAAATTTCTAGGCAATATAATAAATAAGGCAAGAAACAAAAATGTGATCTGTAACTATTGTACACAAAGAGTCAAAATTATTTTTATTTTTAGATCATACTACTTTCCAACTAGAAATAAAAGAGGACATCCTTTTCCCTTTTATTCTTAAACAAAAGATTAAAGCTAATAAGAGAGTCTAATAAGATTTCTGATAACAAAGTAAATTTGCAAAATTCAAGAGTTTTCCTATATTCCTATAATGATCAGTTAGAAAATATAATGGAAAAATCCCATTCAGAGTATAAGCAAAAATTATAAAGGACATAGGAATAAATATATTATATAATATATTAAGCTCATATATGAAAAATAGAATGAAACTGTATTGAGTGACCTAAAAGGGGGGCTTAAATGAATGGCCATCTCAAGTTTCCAGATGGAAAGATTCATTATTGAAAGACATTTTATTCTCCCCATATTAATTCATGGACCTATCAAATATGAGATAACTTGATCATGATATAAAAAAATTTAAAACATTTATTATAGAAAGAGGATAAACTTGAACTGGCATTATTAAAAGTAATCATAAAACTAAAAAACTGTTTGGTAAAGTATTGACCCCAAAAGACATAAATAAATAAATCTAATGAGTAGAAAGCCCAGAAATATTCATTTATGAGATTCATATATATGGTATATGATAAAGGGAGGGTTTGGGTGATCAAAGGAAAACAAGGGTTAATTTGTTAGAAACAAAGTTAGAACTCTTCTTCATGCAAAACTGAAAATTAATTTCGAAATTATTGAAAAAACTAAATATATAAAATGAAAATATCAAATCTAGGTGGCAACACAGATTAATATTCACACAATCTTGGGATATGTTAAGAATGAACTTTTTAAGCATTTTGAAAATTTATTTATTTATTTATTAGATAGGATCTCACTCTGTTGCCCAGGCTAGAGTGCAGTGATGTGATCATAGTTCACTACAACCTCGAACTCCTGGGCTCAGGATATCCTCCTCCCTCAGCCTCCTAAGTAGCTGGGACTACAGGTACATGCTAATTTTTCTATTTTTTGTAGAGACAAGAACTTACTATGTGCTCAGGCTGGTTTTGAACTCCTGGTCTCAAGCAATCCTCCTGCCTCGGCCTTCCAAAGTGCTAAGATTACCTATATACATGAGCTAGCAGGCGGCCTGGCCATATTTATTTTTATTTTTAGAGAGGAGGTCTCACTATGTTGCCCAGGCTAGATTTGTTTTCTGCCTCAGCCTCTTGAGTAGTTGGGATTACAGGCACTTGCCACCATGCCAAGTGTACCATTTTTGTTTTTATCTTTTATATCATATTTTTACTGTACCTTTTCTATGTTCATATACATTTAGATACAAAAATAATAGTCATTGTGTTACAATTGCCTACAGTATTCAGTACAGTAACATGCTGTACAGGTTTGTAGCCTAGGAGCAATAGGCTATACCATATAGCCTAGGTGCGTTATAGACTATATCATCTGGGTTTGTGTAAGTATACTCTATTATGTTCACACAATGATTAAATAGCCTAATGATACATTTCTCAGAACATGTTCCCATCATTAAGTGATGCATGAACTTAAAAAGTAAAAGGAGAATTATGATGGATTAAAGAATAAAAATTTACATCATATGCTTCCTTTGACTTAATGGAGTCTAAATCTCTATGTATATGATGCAATGCTCAACCTGAAGATTCATGTATTAAAATAGAACAGAATGGTAAAATGCTTATTCAAATAGATAGGTAGTGCTTTTAAAGACATTTTAACACTTAAAATCAATTGTGTTACTAACATAGGAACATAGAGGCTATACAAAAATGTTCTGAGTATCAAAGTTATTCTTGGTAACTGCCAATATTTCCAAGTTATTCAATTTTATTGCAAAAATATGTACTTGGATAATGTTATCTAAGCTTATTATAGAAATGCCTTCATTGAAATATTAATAAATATAAACCCTTTTCTTTTAAGAGATGGAAGAGAATTGGATAATAGAAGAAATATGCATTGAAAAGTTGGGGGATTTTTATAAAACTCTAGTCAAAAACATTGTCCTTTTCCCTTTTTTATTGAGGGATAATTTATGTAAATACTGGGGGGGGTACATATGATAATTTTAATACATTCATATAATTTGTAAAGATCAAGTCAGTGTACTTAATAGATCCATCACCTTAGCTGGCGCCTGTAATCCCAGCACTTTTGGGAGGCTGAGGATTGCTTGAGGTCAAGAGTTCAAGTCCAGCCTGAGCAACATAGGGAGACCTTGTCTCTACAAAAACCAAAAAAATTAGCTGGGCATGGTGGTACGCACCTGTAGTCTCAGCTACTCAGGAGGCTGAGGAAGGAGGATTGCTTGAGCCCAGGAGTTCAAAGTTGCAGTGAGCTATGATCATACCACCGCACTCTAGCCTGGGAAATAGAGCAAAACACTGTCTCAACAAAACAAAACAAGACACCCCACAATGAGATACCATCTCACACAGAAAACAGCAAACATTGGTGAGGATATGGAGAAATAGAACCCTCATGCACTGTTGGTAAAAATGTGAAATGATGTAGCCATTAGGCAAAACAATACGGAGATTTCTCAAAAAATTAAAAGTAAAACTGCCATGTGATCCCATAATCCTACTTCTGGATATTTATCCAAAAGAATTGATTAACAGGATCTCAAAGAGATACTTACACTCCCATGTTCACTGCATGAAAATGTAGAAACAACATAAATGTCCATGGACATGAATGGCTAAAGAAATTGTGGTATATACATACAATGGAATATTATTCAGTCTTATAAAAGAAGGAAATTCTGCCATATGCTACAACATAGGTGAACCCTGAGGACATCATGTTAAGTGAAATGAGCCAGTCAGAAAAGAAACACTACATGATTCCACTTATGTAAGGTGGCTAATGTAGGCAGACTCATAGAAGCATAAAGAAGAAAGCAACTGGCCCATCAGGCAATAGAGGGCAACCAACCCGCCAATTATTTCAAAAGGCAATAGTGGGCAACCAATCATTTTAAAGGTCAATGCATGATCCATGCGTGATCAGCATGTGTGTAGCTTGTGCACCATGGGGATAAAAGGCATGCCGTTGTTCCGGTCAGGGTCCTTGCCTGCGAGAGTGGCCACTGCATTGGTGCTCTGGGACTTGGACTCTGGCTAGCCAGAAAATAAACCTCCTCTTGTGTGATTGCAAAAAAAAAAAAAAGAAGAAGAAGAAGAAAGCAGAGGCTGTGGGGAAGGAGAAATGGCAAGTTGTTCAATAGGCATAGAGTTTTAGTCATGCAAAATAAAAACGTTCTGTATAACAATGTGTACATAATTAACAATACTATACTGTACACTTAAAAGTTTAAGAGGGCAGATTTTATCTTAGTTTTTTTTAACTACAATTTTTTAAAAAAGGGGTAAAAAATGACACAGAAGTGGCAGAGGAGACATTCCATTGGGGAAGGGGGAAGTTAAGAACCTCACTTATATTCTTACCTGGGTAAAAGACCATGTGATTTCCACACAGCAAAGTGAATTCTGGATTTTAATGTGTCTCTGATGATACTTTCTATTAATACCTTAGGTATGCTCATCTCAAAAAACCTTGCATAGCTCAGTAGAAGAGTGACAGATAAGAAAAGAATCTGTTAGCTTTTAGGTCCTCATAATTCCAAAGCATCAATCATGGTGAAACTTTTAAGTATCAATTAAAGCGATTAGACCTTAGATTTTGGTATTTAAAGGGCTAAAATGTTCATATATTTATATTCTTCTGTAAGAAACCATAAGCATTTCCAATATGCTCCATATAAACCATCTGTGTGTTTATTTTAAAAATTTAACTGTAATACTAGATATTTTGTGGTCTCTGTGTCTCCCAGCCACAACTGACTAGCCTGAGGGGTAGACATAGTCCCAAGGAAAACTCACACGTATGTTGGCCAAGTCTGTGACTCAAAATAGCTTAGTTCAAAAATTTGAGTTGACATTCAGTTAAAAAATTGTGTTACAAAGTTGAGTAGATACTGTGTGGTAGAGACAAGTCTAACCAACTAGTTCTGTGCAAGCCAAAGTTCTGAAGGAGCCAAAATTATGAGTCTAAGTATTTCCTGAGGACTTTCTCAATTCATGAATAGAACAGTAAAAATTCAGTTTGGTAAAATTCAGTTAGCCATATATCTTAAGATGCTCTTTAAAACTGACACAGAGCTATTAAAATACATTTAAAGGATCATATATTAATATATGTGTACTTTCCACTCTGCCTTTGGAAATACACACTGATCCTACCCATACTTAAAAAATCAGGAAATCTCTCTTCTCTAAGTTATATTTTTACTTTTAATCTTCTTTTAAATAAATCAATACTAGAGATGAATAGTATTGAGAATGGCAAAGCCTGGGAAAAGGGCTAATTCTGGCTGAGTATCCCTCATCCCAAATGCTTGGACCCAGAAGTGTTTTGAATTTTGGATATTTTTTAATTTTGGAATATTTGCATACATATACATAATGATATCTCTTGGGGATGGGATCCAAGTCTAAACACAAAATTCACTTATGTTTCATTTATACCTTATACACATTGCCTAATTTTACACAATATATTTTTTTTACACAATATTTTTAATAGTTCGGTGCACTAGACAACATGTGTGTACATTGAACCAATAGAAAGCAAAGGCATCAGGTGTGGAAATATTCCACTTGTGGCATTATGTTAGTGCTCAAAAAGTTTCAGATTTAGGAGCATTTCAGATTTTGGATCTTTAGATTAGGGATGCTCAACCTGCATAAATTTTACAGATTAGATAGACTTTTTTTGAACTTAATAATTTTGTAAAGCTATAATTATTATCTTGTAAAAACATAATAATTATGTAAAACTATACTACTGAGCCCAAAAAGGTCATTCTTATCTATTGACATTTGTTTTGTAGTTTGCTGAGATTATTCAAACATGTCACTCACCTATGACTTACCTAAAAAACTCATCTCTGGAGAAAATGTTGAGCCCGCTGAGTTTGTCCTTGATGTCTCTCCATAGGTAGGTGACTCCCTCTGAGTTGTCTAGTGCTGTTGTGCTACACACTCCCTTTATACTTTCCCAACTCTTAAACCATGGCTCTCAGATTTTCCGATGTGCTCCCCCCTTAACAAAATGTAGCTGGGCCCAGCCAGGTTACAGGCTTAGGCATCTGATAAAAATGAATTACGTCAAGGATTAATTAGTAATAATTGTTACAAGTGTAAGTCTGTCAGATAATACCTAGATCTGAAATGACCTTACCTAAAGAAACAACTGAGTAGCAATTTTAGGCAGCATTTGGGATCTATGTAACTTTTGGCCTACTCACAAAACATAAAGGCCAACATGCAATCCATGCCTAAGTTATTCAATCTTAAGTACTGAAAGGAACAAGTAAGATATTTAGTTGAAACTCACTATTTCTCAATCATTAGTATATAAGAAACATATATATATATATACATATATATATATAAACATTTTTAAGTTAGGACATTTATTAAAGCTCTGGAATATATTTTCAGTGCCATTAGACTTCTAATAATTTTACTGAGGGCTTTCCATGAATATGAAATGTATAAGCTATATACTGTGGCACAGATGTTACAGCTATACCAAGGTTTGGAGGCAACCGAGCGCAAAGGCAAAGAACATAAACTGTGGACTCAGCCTTGGTTCCGATCACTGCTACTCACTAGCTGTATGACCTCTGGCAAGTGGCTTAACCAATCTAAACTTCAGGTTTCTCAACCATAAAATGGGGATAAAATAGAGAATTATGAGAATTAAAGGAGAAAAACTTGAACTCCATATATGTTAGCTAGTATGATTAATCAGTAGGTTGTCTACTAAATATGTTTTTTATGTTTACTATTAGTAGTGGCTATTATTTAAAAAAAATTTAAAGAACTAAAGCAGTAACAATTTTTTGACTTACTATGCTCTGGTTATTATATTCAAAGTGAACATGACTTGTTTTTTATGATTACAAAAAATAGATACTGACATTCAAAGTATAAGGAAAAGTGTATAGAAAGGAAAAAAAATCATTCAAATTTTTACATCCAGAGATTTGTAAATATACATTACTTTAATGTGTATTGTAAAACACTTTTTCCAAAGCAGGATTAACTTACCATTTGTTTATCTTCTGTTTTCTGACATATAATTGTAGCACTCTTGTTTCATGACCTATATTAATAAACTAGCCATAAAAATGGAAAAGTAGCTCTCTCTTTTTGGAGAAGCTGGGGAGAGTAGAGAGGAAGCCTCAAGCCCAATCCTCCTTCTGGGTTTAAATTCCAGCTTTACCACTTATTAGACATATGATCTTGAGCAAACCACTTAAGCTCTATATCTCAACTTCCTTATCTGTGAATTGTAAGTTATTATAAGAATTAAAGGAGTTAATATATAAAGTACTTAAAACACTGCTTGATATATAAGTAGTACATAAGAGTTAGCTATTATTACATATGGTCATGCAAAGGTACCTATATATAAACAGCAGCTCATAAAACCAGTTATGTATGTTATCCCATTTATATAAAAATAACAAATTATATAATATTTATCTATTTATATACATACATAAGCATAAAAATACTTAAAAATTATACACAAAACTACCAATATGATTATCTCTGGGAGAGATTTTCACTGGCTCTATAATGTTTCAATTTTTCTTAACTTTTATGTATTGTATTAATAAATAAATAAAAACCCGTTCAATTAAAAATATATTTTTGAGATGGAGAAAATTTAAAAAGAAAAAATAGAGGAAAACAACAAAACTCTTAGTTTTCAGAAAGATGACAATACGAAGGTAATTTAATTAGGTCATCATGCTGGGGAAGGAGAGCTTAGAGTTTACAAAATTAAATGTAATATTAAGGGATATACATTATAGTAAATACAAATTTATAATTTCTTCTTACTAAAAAGATATCGCTTATATGATAGAAAGAAAATATGCAAAAGGAAAAAGAAAATATTTAAGTACCTTTAAAAATGCTAATACATACACCCAAGGTAAGACTGATCTCTGTGAATGATATAGAAAGGTGCCTGAAACATCAAATACTAAATAATATAAAACAACTGTAACATACTCTTTATTTTACTGAAGCAAGGATGCTATATCAAGCTTGAAGTGCCTTTAATGCCAAAACTGTATATACTCTTCCTGATTTATTGAGGAATAATGTATATAAAATTTCAAATTTTAAAACAAAGTTTCTAAATTCTGTTTAATATTATATGAAATCCTTTCTCCCTGGGAATGAACATAGTGCCTATTGGCAAGTTACTTAACCTATCAAAGTCTCAATTTCCTCAACTATAAAATAGTGGAAATAATCTATGGGGATTAAGTGAGAACACACAGTATTCATGCAGAACATGAGAACAGCAGTCCTTGAACTTTTTCACTCTCGCTATCATTATCTGTTTACAAGATAGCCTAAAAAGAACAGTTTATTAATATTATTTAGTCTAATGTACATATAGACTGTACTTTTAGCACTTGAGAAATATACAGACTAGCTTGAGCTGAATTCTTCGAAAGTTAAAAATATCGTTCTTAGCTCTCATGCATGCCATTTCTGTCCAATATGTCTCACTCTTAATTGTCACCAGTTACATATAATACCCAAATTTCTGACCTATGCTGATGACAGGTCTCCATCTATTGTGATGTCACCCAGTACTTTATGGTAAGATTTCATATGATATTTTTTCTGACTACAGTTTAAAAGGCACTTCCTGTTTGTGGACCCACCACATTATCAAAATATGTAACTGAAGGATTACAGTATGCCAACCTCTGATTTTATTTCTATATTGCTGACTTAGTAGCAATGAATAAATCTTCTAAATTATGTTGTAAGCCTTCTTGTCCAAGAAGCAATATATTCTGTAATCTCCTTGACAAAATTGTTAAAAGACCCTCCTTGCAGTTTTTGGGTCAGTGGGGATACCACTGTTACGAACCTAGGATTTACAGAACACTGGCAAAAATTCTGAGGTACGTCGACTTGGACGGGTTTGACATACTACTCACAGATTTTATTACGTTTGTGGAAAAATCAGGATATCATTTCGAACTAAATTTTAACCTTGAATTTACTGAAATATGTGTGAATACAATTCTGTACTGGGTTTTTGCCAGAAAAGGTAATCCTGAATTTGTGGAATTGCTTCTCAAGAAGACAAAAGACTATGTTCAAGACAGAAGTTGTAACCTGGCACTGATATGGAGGTAATAATCTCATATATTTTCATCATAGAACGAGAAAATTTATCTTTAGAAGATTATAGTACTTTTTCTTCTAAAATTAATCTGCATAGTGACTATATAGGGATAAGGAATCCTGACTTAATCGCTCATTCATTTGTTCACTCCTTCACTGCTTCATTATGTAATCAACTTTTACCTATGTATACATTATATACCAATAAATTATTAGTGTTTCTGCTCCATATAGCTTACATGTTAGTGCTAAGGGTAATGCAATGTTAGAAATCTTAGGTTTCTCTAAATAAAGACATTGTTTTGTATAATACTGTGATCTTTCCTTTTTGAGAATCCTGAGATCATATATTTACAGTATGTACGTATAAGTTGACTTTCACAGTACAATTGAGAACATGTACATATCTTCACTCAGTAATATTTATTAAATGTGATATTTCCCTATTTGTGTGTTAAACATCAATAAATTTAACTCCAAATTCTACAGAATTGAGCACAATGTAAGTCAAGTCTATTATAGACCTAAGTTTTTAATCTGAACATGCCAATCTACCTAATGAGTACTACTGAGGATCTTATGAAGATAAATTCTCCCAAATGACCTCTATGTATAGTCTGTGATATAGATTCCAAGGTTATGCATTTTGCACCAACTCCAATTTATTCTTTGGTTTTCGGTATTAATCTGATTAAATGGATGTGCATTTGTTCACTCATTCAACAAAATAATTATGGATTACCTTACTATGCATGCAGCACTGTACTAGGGACAATGATAGGAGAACATATGCAATGAAAAACAAAACAAATGAGATCAGTTAAAGACTAAACTAATTTAGGTTCTGCCTAAAGCAGAATTGTTTTCTGGACTGCATTCCTTAGTAATTACTCAAGTACTTGAACTGATAGCTGTGGTTTGGGAATATCAGTAAATGAAAACTCCCAAACACAGATTTTTTAAATTTCAGCATATTACGGGGATACAATTGTTTAGGTTACATACATATACTGCCTTTGCCCCATCTGAGTCAGAGCTTCAAGTGTGTCCATCCCCCTGATGGTACGCAGCACACCCCTTAGGTGTGTATATACCCATCCCCTTCTCCCCCTTCCCATCTGCCTGACACCCGATGAATGTTACTACTATATGTGCACGTGTTGATCAGTTAATACCAATTTGATGGTGAGTAAATGTGGTGCTCGTTTTTCCATTCTTGTGTACTTCACTTAATAGAATGGGCTCCAGCTCTATCCAGGATAATACAAGAAGTGTGAGATCACCACTGTTTTTTGTAGCTAAGTAGAACTCCATGGTATACATATTCTGCATTTTATTAATCCACTCATGTATTGATGGGCACTTCGGTTGTTTCCACATCTTTGCAATTGTGAATTGTGCTGCTGTAAACATTCGAGTGCAGATGGTTTTCTTTATAGAATGTCTTTTGTCCCTTTGGGTAGATGCTCGGTAACGGGATTGCTGGATCAAATGGTAATTCTACTTGTAGCTCTTTGAGGTATCTCCATATCACTTTCCACAGAGGTTGTGCTAGTTTGCAGTCCTACCAGCAGTGTATATGAGTGTTCCCATCTCTCCGCATTCATGCCAAAATTTGTTGTTTTGGGACTTTTTGATAAAGGCCATTCTCACTGGAGATAAGTGATATCTCATTGTGGTTTTGATTTGCATTTCCCTGATGACTAGAGATGTAGAGCATTTTTTCATATGTTTGTTGGCCATTAGTCTATCTTCTTTTGAAAAGTTTCTATTCATGTGCTTTGCCCACTTTTTGATAGGGTTGTTTGATTTTTTTCATGCTGATTCTCCTGAGTTTTATATAGATTCTAGTTATCAGCCCTTTATCGGATGTGTAGCATGTGAATATTTTCTCCCAATATGTAGGTTTTCTGTTTGCTCTCTTGATAGTTTCCTTGGCTGTGCAGAAGCTTTTTAATTTGATCAGGTACCCCTTTATTTTTGTTGTTGCTATGATTGCCTTTGGGAAATCTTCTTCATAAATTCTTTGTGTAGGCCAATGCCTATAAGAGTTTTTCCAACATTTTATTCTAGAATTCTTATAGTTTCATGCTTTAGGTTTAATCTGTTATAAGTTTTTAAAGTAACCATTATATTTGTAACTATAGCAGAACTCAGCAGCTTCTAAAGGTGAGTGTTGCTGGCTGTGCAATGCCTATATGCAGCCCTGGCAGGCTCGTGGGAAAGAAAAAGAAATTAAAACAGAGGAAGAGAGAATAAATAAAAATAATTAAAAATGGAGAGTGAGATGAAAAAAACTGGAAGGAAAATGAAAAAAAGAGAAACACACAGTGGGACATGATAGAGTGCCATTAACAACTGTCTTAAGATATGGTTTTAAAATTAATAAATAGATGCATCCACAAACTAAAACTCATTACACGCCAATTCTACTTACCACAACATCATTTGGATCTTTCAGAATCATAGAATTTTAGATTTGCACGAAGCCTAAGAATTTATTAGCAAATCTTGACCCTGGTAGAGCAATCTCTCCTATAGCATCCCTGGCTGACACTCACTGGGTTTTTTCTGAACAGCTCCAGTATTAGTGAGTTAACTATTTCCTAAGGGAAACCACACTTTTACCTGGGGGGGAGGGGGTCTTCTCTTTTCCTTGCTATATGCTTTCCCTTAAATACTTTACTCAGTCCTATGACTTTAAATATTATGTACATGCCAATAATTCCCAAATTTTTATCTCCAGCCCTAACCTTTCCTCTGAACTCCAGAATCCTTCTATATTTAGCTGTCTACTTGACATTGCCATGTGGTATCTCAAATTTAATAGAAACAAAATAATATTTATCTAACTCTCTCTAGTTTGGTAATTTCACTGTTATAATAATGAAGTGTTTGGTTCCTGGAGGAAAGGAGATAAAATTAATGAGGGAAAGAAACTCAAGTTTGTTGGTTTTAACAATAAACCTGCAACAAATATCTATATGCCATTGTGTGACAGGCTGTAAGTGGTTAAAGAGAGATGATGTCATTCAGTTAAAATAACAGTAATGGCAGGGCGCGGTGGCTCACACCTATAATTGTAGCACTCTGGGAGGCTGAGGCAGGAGGATTGCTTGAGCCCAGGAGTCTGAGATTGCTGTGAGCTAGGCTGATGCCACAGCACTCTAGCCTGGGCAACAGAGTGAGACTCTGTCTTAAAAAAATAAAATAACAGTAATAATTTATTAAGCATTTTCTAAGTGCTCAGGCACTGTGTTATTTATTGGGGATACAAAAACAAAGTAGACATCATTGCTGGTTTGGTAGTGCTTTTTTAGTAAGTGAGGCATCAAT